GACACTGTAGATGCCACAGCAGTCCGTCACAGAGCACACATACGCATGCGCTCACAGGGTTAACACATTAGATACTCTTCGATTGTTGCTGTTGTGGTGTTTTTTATTTTGGATATTTTAATTGATGGGATATCTGTTTTGTGGGCATATAGGTAGGATTAAGTTAAAGAAATGTCTTAATATGAGTGTTTTGTTGTATAGATTGAGGGAGTGGCAAAAACTATTTTTATAAGAGCTACAGTAACAGTGTGATTTTGCATAACTCAAAATATGACTCTTAATATGTGAAACTGCACAAGGTGGAATGACAATATTAGATATTATATTATAGATGTAATGTTGGCAAAAGTTGAAGAGCATAGAGGAGATGGAGAGGGGAGAGAGCCTTCAGCTTTCTTGGTGTGCACGGTGTTCCTCAGATGATGTCACCTGGACCACACACATCTCCCATCAGTTGGGGAAGGCCCAATATAGGCTTTACTTCCTGAGGAAGTTAACTCACACTCACCTCCCTCATCACCTGCCAGTCGACAAAAGATTGCCTCCTGACCTACTGCCGCATGGTACGGTTCACGGCCTGCAAGGAAGAGAACAGGAAGGACCTGCAATAAGTGGTGAGGGCGACAGAGCGTATCTTCGGCACTACGCTACCCTCACTGAGAGACATTTACACCGGCCGACATCAAAAGAAAGCCAGCTGTAGTTTAAAGGATCCCACCCACCCTGGACATCACCTGTTCTCCACCTCCGGAAAAAGATACAGAACATTTAGGACCAAAACAGATTAAAACAACAGCTTCTTTCCACAGACAGTCATAACCCCTCCTCCCCCTCCCTCAGACTGACATGTAATGAACCCCTACCCCAAGAAATGGAAGTTTATAAACTCCCTGTCACTCTTATTTTTCCCTTGCACCTTATGTTGTTGTCATTTTGCACCAGAACATCAGTGCATACTACCTCATTGTTTTATGCTATTTATGTTTGTTCATATTTTTGTCTACATTTGTTATGTCATTTTCTATTCTATTCTATTCTATTCTATTCTATTCTATTCTATTATATTATAATGTTTTAAAACTATACACTATAACTGTACATATATTGAAAACAAAGTATAAAACTATAGAGATGTGTACATATATCGGATTAAAACGATTTATTTATATTGTTGAATTGAAAATATACCGTATTTATACTATGTGTTGCATTTCTTTTTGCTTTTAACAAATAATATCTCTCAGAAAAGCCTCAAAAACGGAGACTTTCTCAAACATACAACAGTATCGGAAAACAAATAATTAGGAGCCACGAAATTCACCACGGTCTGCCGAATCCGTACTAGGTTTGATTGAAAGCCTAAAAAACTACTGGATTTTCACCCACAGCGTGAATTTTAGGAGATTGACGTCGATCCTCAACCAATATACAAACCGAATGCCTCGCTGAAAGTCCCGCCCATTAAACTGCACTCCGCCAATCGGATGATCCCAAGGGGCGGGAAACTGGGCGGGATAACTATTATCGGTACGAAAGGTAACAGGTTGTTACAAAAGCGAAGTTGTTCTTCTGTGTAGAAGTAGTTTTATTTTTGAGGTGCTGGAGTTTTATTATATTTTACGTAATACAAGGTGTTCTAAAAGTTCATTGTTCATCAAAGTTCGCTTTTGTACCACAGAGGACCAAACACTGAGAAAGAATACGGATTCTTCTAACTTAACAGCAGGTACAGTAGATGTCTAAGTTTCTCACACTAGCAGTGATAAACTGCTGCTAGTTGTTTGTTTATCTTGTAATAGGTTTACGCCATATGTAATAAGTTGACTTTCTGCTGTAGTAACTCGTCTGTAAATCACTAGCAGTTTTGCTTATTTTATTCAAGAGTATTGTTTATTTTGTTAAATGTCACAGTTGTCAAGTTGTTGTTTAGTTCGTCAGCTTGTTTGCTTATTTGGAGAGCTAGACATCCATGGTGACACATCCTTAAAACAAATACTTGCATAACTGGTGATTATTGTGGCTGTCAGAATGTGGGATAGTCTGTGAGCTATGACTGAGAAGGGCGTAGGGATCGCGGCACCTGTCTACAGTACAGTACGTCACCCTCGCGCGACTTTAGCCAAGTAGAAGGAGGCAAGTTTAGTTTTTGTTAAATATTGGCCGCTTTATTTCGTGTCACCTTGTCAGCTTGCCCGAAGGCGGCTGCTTGCACGCTGGCATCTATCCTACACTTCGACTCGGTAAAGTAACAGATACCAGAGTTTCGCTCGAACTCTCGAGCTTCTCAGTCCCTGGTGTGACGCAAGTGAACGTGCGCGTGTGAAGGAAGGTGCGAGTTTCTGTGCGCTGAGCGGGAACTGGGATGCGCGGCTCCGGCTCGGTATTGTCATGGGGGGCTCGCTTCACATTATCAGGAGTCATGTGCACCTGGACATCGGCTATTACCTACTTAACACTTTATGCCTGGACTATGTCCCTTAAAATTCTTACACAAGGTAGTTTATTTATCATGGTAATAGTTGATGGTTTGTAATATTTGTTACAGTTGCTTTGCCTGGAGTCCAGCGTTATTTTTTCTGTGAAATCCAGCTTGTTAGAATGTTACAAATAGCACGATGTTACAACTATGAATATATCTCACTGCCGGTGATGTTCCTTCAAAAAAATGAGGAATGTCTCGAGCTGCAAGAGTGTATTATTCTTCTCTATATGGTCCACTGGAGATCTTTTTTGTTATGCCAATGAGGCACTTTTCAATCTGTGTGAAATAAATGCTTGATTGTTTTCCCGTGAAACCAAGCAGAAGGGAGAAGTGAGTGAGGGAGATAGAATGGCCTGAGAAGAGCTTTAAAGAAAAATGAATCCATCATGATGACTATCAATCTGTAAAGATCACTGTATATTTTAGTAAGTACTGTACATTTCATTGCTGAACCTGGGGAATATTACATGTTTTTATGTCTATTAATAAAATCAGATTTAATGTAATTGGTACAGGTAATATATTTAATGATTTAATCTGATGCTTTAAAATAATCGTAAATGTGGTGGGCTTTTGGGATAGATAAATAAATTTTGAATAAGTGTAACTACAAAAAGTGCTGAGGTGAATTTTAAGTGTTTAAGAATACTATGAATACCATCAGGAAAATGTGACAGTTGTAATCAATACCTTTAAATGGTAATTGATACCAAATGAATAACTTGAGTATCAGTACTGAGGTATCGATGGTCACCCCTGCTACCAGGATACCTACGTTGTAAGTTAGAGTACTCCCTGGAAACATGATCCTTATTTTGTTTTTTTTTGTGCAATTTCCTTGAAAATGGTACATCAACTATTAGTTAAACTGGTGGAACTTCAGTGTGATAAGATAAGTGTATCATAATTAACATTTTATCTTACAGGCTGCCTGAAATACTCTTACCTTATTTTTAAATTGATTAGGCACAATCTCCATTATTAAGAATACTTGCACAGGACTTGTTTTGTTGAAAATATATACTATTTATATCAGCTAGAGTAGTTTTGTCATGGGAACCAAAACTCTGTAAAATGAGAGTGAATACCAAAGGTTCTGACAAATGAGTAATCTTATGCTGTATATAATGGTAAAAAATAATATCTTATGTGAAGTGACCTTATTATTGGTGGGTGGTGTGTAGCTCAGTGGGCTAAGCCTTTGTGGCTGTGCTGAGAAGGTTGTCGGTTCAAGTCTGGGCTCAGCACGTCATTTGGCCTAAACGCCCGCCAAGCTTGCTCTCACCTACAGGGGACAAGATGGGAGGTAAAAAGAGAATTTCCCCACACGGATCAATAAAAGTGTAATCGTTATCATTTGGTTCACAAACTTACTGAGTGAATAAGTTACAAATGCTGCACCGTGTTCCCATAAGTAGTCAGCATGTAAAATGTTGCCCTTCATGTATTACTCTTCTTCACACAACATGTGATGCAGCGGAGACATAATTATTGTGGCGGCTGTATGGTTTTGCTCCTAGAGACACTTATCTTGTTATTTTAACAACTGTTGTTTGATCTATTCTTGTTTTAAGGCTCCGTTTGTCATTTCAAATCCTGATGTTTTTATGTTTTCAGTTTCAGAGCCAGTGGCTCTTTAGGTAATTGTCTAGATCCAGTAACTACTTGAGTGTAATGGACTGTGACAATTTTTGAGTCCTCTTCCAGGTCCCTAACCCTAACACCCCTTTGTACTCCAATAATGTAAACATACACTGCACTGGATATCAAGAAGACAGGCAGCCCTGGAAGAGAGAGCTCTTTTGTGTGTGTTACTGATAAGTTCTGGACTGGAATCTTGGAGGCCAGTCCTTTTTCGATCAAGAGTTGTAGCCTGACTGAGAGACCGGCGATTTTAAGGTTCTGTTGATCTCTTGTTTGAGAGTTCCAGGAATTTGGCTGCGTCTTGCATGTGTATGTATAGTTTTTAATAGTCCTTTATCAAATTTAACAATATATTCAATCATAATGTCATGTTTTATGCAGCACAATATTAAGTTATAGATAACAGCTACAAGGACACAGTGCAATGTTCACAGTTTATGGGTCTGACAGGAAGTTATTGGGCAGCAGGACCAGTTAGATTCATTTTTTTAAACTCCATTTATTCATCTTTGTGCTCTTTGCCCTACTCTTCCATGCCGAGTCCAAGACAAAAGCCAGTTCAGCTGCGTGAGACCAAGTGGTACACTGTGGGCGCGATTAGTGCTGAGGTGATGTGGGCTAAATCTGTCCTATACTATCAAAAGTTAAAAGTAACTATAGATTTGTCTCTTATAAGGCGCGTTCTCTAATGTATTTGGAAAGTGCTGATTTGAGGTGTCATCTGCGGCGCTTCATTTCCGTCAAATGAATCCAGCTTCCCTACTCTTGATTGCTGATTCACCACACAGTGACTGATGGTCTACAGCAACGTCACTTCGGCATCCTCTTGAGAATAGCAGAATTGTGTGTAGCCGCAGTGGTGATTAGTCAGGTCCAGGTCTTGTAGAAGTACTGCTGCTTGGCTTTTGTTTACGTGTGTTTTTTTTTTTTTTTTTGTCATTCATTCATCTTCTAACTGCCAATCCAGTAGAGGGAAGGCTAGAGCACATAGCACTGAACCCCCTGAATGAGATACCGGTTCACTGCAGGACACATACTTTGAGATTCCAGCTTGTTATCGGATTGTGGCAGGAAACCAAAGTGTTCTGAGGAAATCCATGCAACATGAATGGTGAGACTGAAACTCCTGCCTCTGGAGCTGTGAGGTGACATTGCCAGCCACTGAACCACACAGGTTATATTTATAATTTCTAAAATGTATGTATTCTTAGGCCCTGCAGACTGGCTCAGCCACTGTTTTCTCATTCGGTGGTTACTGTTTACAGTTAAACTGTGTTTTAACTGTTTGATAGATAGTTCAATCTTTCTTGCATAATATTTCAGATTCGGCCTGGTTTCTGTAATGAGTTGCATAAGGTTTTTTGTTGCTATATTCGTTATTTGTGATCTAAGCATGTCAGAATGTTGACATAAATCACTGGGACAGACTGGCATGAAAGACCAAGGAATTCCAACTGCATAATTAAAAGGAAACGACCATACAAAGCCCCATGAGCACAAAAGAGAGATGGGTCAGCACGCGGGACAGGTCCAAAGGGAAGAGCTCCAGGCATCACAGCTCTCATTTTCTGCTCCATGTTGTTTGGACAATATGATGGGTCTTGCACTCCCCTTCCTGCCCCGAGGCACACTGAGGGCTGCTGTGTGCCCCAGGCTCCTGCCCTCAGTGACATATTGGCACATGGACACACTGAGGAGGGAGGAGTCTATGTTACATCATGTAGAAGATGTCCGGTTTAGGCTGGGCTAAACTGGACTATTTTAAAGCATTCTTTCCTAGCCTACTCATCTCTGTATAAGTGGATCTGCATATAAAGGCTTGCCCAGGCAGCAAATATGCTTTATTTTACATTCCATAAATACAAATACATCGGAATGCTTCTTTCCACATATTTCTTCTTGCTCTTTTTATAGTTTTATAGGCTTGAATCAACAACCTTCCAATCGCAGGCACAGAGGCCTATCCCAGGCTCTGAGCCACACAGCGCCTGCTTGTCATGTTGTAGTTGTGGAACTTCTGGAGGAAAGTCTGAAGTTGAAGGAAATTTTAGCCCACAGAATTTGTCTGCACCATGTGGGAACACCTGTAATTCCTGCACTGTCCCACACGTGACTGCAGGGCCGTATATGGGTGTCTCCACGGTGTGCCGTACATGTTTGTCGTACATGTTGCCGGTCCAGCAGAATGTGGAGGCGAGGTTCCCTTCTAATGGGGGAGGCTCCTGGAAGGTGGGGATGGGGATCCAGTGGGAGGGGGAGAACATGGGAGAGACGAAGCGGTGGGACACCAATGAATCTGGGTGGCTCACGGCTTGTAGCATGTGGACATGTTGTGAAACCGTGACAGCTGTCACGCGCTATACAGAAAATGCACCGATTTAATACTTATGTGGCTTTTAAAAGAAGGTAAAAGGGAAATAAGGGCTGATTAACAGTGAGACAGGAATGTGGATGAGTGGGGCCAGTGCAGGGCAATTGCGGCCTTTTGCATGACACAGGAGGAGGTGTGTGCATGAGCATTCAGTAAGCAGGAACAGCAAGGACAGAGTTTGTCGATTCCTCAAGCTAGTTTCTGTGACTCATTTCCCTGTTAGTCTTGTTGCCCGCAGGTGCCAAGGGAGAATGCGCATGCATGCGTGTGTCAGGGTTAATGATTGACAAAGGTCGCAGGCAAAGTCCTCCTCAGGACTAGTTTCAAGGTAAATGGCACAGGGACTATAAGCTGCAGTCCCCTGGGGCCACTGCCAGCTTCCTCATTCCTCAATTAGTGACTCACTTGGAAGGAGTAGGAGAGGGAGTCAGGGCACGTGAGGCTTCTCTGTCATTGGTGCATCCGCCTTAGCGTGTGAGTATGACATATTCAGCCTGCAGTGCACTCCCAGGGTGACGCGCTGGGCTTAGGAATGCCAGTCTGTCCCTGGGGTTCAGTGGCTCGTGCAAGTGTTGCTTGTTTTTAGCCCGGTGGGCTGTTCAAATTGTTAAACCTGGTGTCATTTGCTAGCCTTGGCTTCCTCAGAGGTAAATACGGCAGCATCGGTGTTCTGGAACATGCTGGCATTGTAACAGGGACACCGCACTGTTGCTGCAGTAAATGGTCATTGACCAGTGCTGCGTCTGACCATGTTTGTGCTGTGTAAATACACGGTAAAGAAATTTCTAATCTGTCAAACATAATAATAAACTGAAGAAACACAGAGCTGCACCCAAGTGTGTAATTCAGACCAACTACACTGCAGAGACTGAATCCTTTGGGTCTTCTGAATGAAAATTGTGTGTGTGCGTCTCAATGAGTTATTCCCTTCATTTCAAAACCATCACAATCACAACACAGCCCTAAAGTATAAACACTGAAGAGGTGACCCCCCCCTCACCCCGCATGCTTTGGTTAGTTTTAGCTGCATTGATGCCAAACTGTAGCTCTGCCCCATGCAGCATGAATGCTGCTTCTCTCTTCTGCACAGTTATAGAGGCCTTTGTGTGTGCATGCTTGTGCAGTTAGGCTAAATGTATCTCAAGAAATTAAAAATCAGACAGATTGAGATTCCTATGTTGGTTCCCAGAAGTAAATTCAAGGAATCGGTAGATCTCTGAACCTCTAATTTCATTCAGTACCGAGAGGTGAGCATATTTGACTGGGGAAAAGTGTAAAAACTGGCCCAAAAAGCTTCAGGTTCGACTTATCTATTGTCTGTTCAGAAATGTCATGTTTAAATATTGTTTTCACAAAAAGTAAAGGATATTTCTTACTCTTTTTGCCAAATTGTGCATTGTCCTTATTCATTTAAAAAACCACACTGAAATAAGCTATTGAAATGCAATGATTTTCTAGCATTATTCAACTAAAATATTGGCTAATTTCACCCTGTTTATTAATAGAAACCTACTCACTGCTAGACTATGTACCAGAATAAGAAAAATCATAACGAAATCCCACAAAATGAACGTGAGATCTCCTCTCATCAGGACAGGGGTACCCCGAAAGCTTTGTCACAGAAATCTGAATTTTTGTTGTCCATATGGTATTAAAATAAAACATTGTGATGTATTCAATTTAATCTTGGCCAATATTTAATTTTTGTCTGCTGGCAAGTGGTACTTAGTTTTATTCAAATGCATATTCTTATCTTGTGCCTGATATGTTTCCCTGGCTGCTGGGAATAATGCACAAGCCAGGGGGAAAAGCAGCGGAACCTCTAGTTTTTCAGTAATTTTAAGGTGGCTGAGTGAGTAGCATTAACTCACTGCTCTGCGGATGTCAGCTTGTATTTAACCTAATACATCTGCTCCCATTGCGTTTGCTTCTAAAGACCTTTCGTTGTCTCTGTACCCCTACAATGCGACTTAATGTTTTCAGCTAACCTTTCCTGGTTTTCAGAAATCGGCTCCCTTCACCAGTAACTACCGCTCTTGTTGATACTGGCTGGTATTACTTGCTTTTTGTGATCATGCTTGTTCTGTCTTCGCAAGATCATAATCAAAGACAGGTATTCATTGTTGTGACAATGAACCCATAATTTTTATCCTTTAGACTTTTTTTAAATATGTGTATGTGGCTCAGGATTCCTGCATTCTAATTACGTATTCTATCCGGCTTTAGGATGAGTGCTGCCTCGTCGGACCAGAAGTCTCAGCTGGACTATGGGGTCCAAATCCGCTTCATCAATGACCTCCACAACACCGGAGGGGGCGCTCCTGTCAGGTCTCGGGGGAGCAGCAGCAAAGGCACCTCCAGCACCACCTCCTCCAAGTATGGTGTGGCGGTCAGGGTGCAGGGGATCGCGGGACAGCCCTATGTGGTCCTTAAGGGAGGCGAGAAGGGGGACTCCTTTGGGGTGCAACTGAGAAGCCAGCCCCGAGACTACAACTTCCCCCCAGCTTATAATAGTCTACCCCGGACTAACGAGGATGGAGAGGCCCCCGGACCATACCACGTGTCCGCTGAGGGGAACAACCTCCGCCGTGCACGTTCCCATGGGTCATTGTTGGAAAGGGAACCCACAGAGGACTATGAGGAACCCCTAAGGAGACCCCCAGGGGATGGGCACTCGGGAAGTTATGGAAATTTGGATGGGGCTGTTGGTGTAAGAGGTGACAGAAGGGAATCCAACCCCATGCTCTCAAATAGAATGGTCCGGGCCAACTGGACTGGATCATGCCAGGCAGGTCTCAATGGGTCTTTAGATGGAGAAGAAGGAAGACCGGTGACCCAGTACAGGTCCAGGGAGGCTTTCCCAGTGCCATCTACAGGTAGTGCTTGGGAGCAGCCCAGTAATGTCGTGGACACAAACTCCTTGGCGCCCATTAACCGACTTATCAACCAGTTTGACGGCAGCAGTTTCGGCAATCAAGCCAGGGGGCGCCCCCGAGCTCTGGAGCGGCTGAGTTCCGAGGAACGCAGGCGTGTACGCAGTCTGGACGCCTACGAGAACGTGTCAGAAAGATCAGTGTCGCCCTCCGTCTCGGCGTCCCCCCCAGACCACCACAGCTCCCCGCTGTCGTCCAGCACCTCCCCCTACAGTAGCCCGGGGCGGAGTGCTGCATCTGTGGCCAAGGTGACAGCCCTGCCGGCTTCGAGGCCAAACTACAACCAATCTGTTGGGATGCCTGTTGCCAGGGAGACCGCTCCACTCACTCAGACAGACACACAGGTTAGTGAATCTGGGTCACTAAAAATGTGTTGGTACTTCTTATGAACTAAATCTATAGGAGCTTGGCCCTAAATTGTAAAAATATAGGGAAGCAGAATGCCAAGTATACAATACAGATACTTTTAAAAAGGCTTTTGACCCAAGAAAAGATTAGAAATATTATATGGAATTCCTCCATTGTCCTCCTCCTGGTCCGCAGACTTGCAGTTTGTCTGTCTGCATTGTTGGCTGTAATGTGCCTTTCCCCTAATGAGCCTGTATGTTTCCCATATGATGGCACCCCATCCTTCAGTAGTGTGCCTTGGGCGCAGTGCATTCTGGGTTTGCACCCTGGCTTAGATTAACCCTGCAGTGGATCAGAGCTTCTGGGAAATTTAATGATTGGGGAAGAAAAAGCATTAAATGGACTGGAAGAGGTGTGATGCTGGATAATTTGAAGAATCAGAAAATATTAATACATTTAAATATTTGTTTTATTTTTGTTAAGTATACCTGAAAATGATTTACTATGGGGTTCATTTTACAAGCCCAGCTCAGACAAGCCCCAGGAACCTGATAGGATTTGTATTTTAGATCTCTGATTTAAAGAAAAGAAGCAAGTAAATAGTTTAACACCTATCCTTAAAAAATACGCAGTGTATGAAGGACACAATGAAAGGGTGGTAAAGATGGTAAGAGCTCATTATAGGATTATTTTGAACTCCAGTAAATCTAGTAGTTCCAGATCAAAGACTTCAGGAAAAAAAAGGAATTCAAAATGAGAGGATATGAACAGAGAGCAGGTTATAAAAGAATGTGAAGTGCTAAAATTTCCTCTCTACTTTGCATTGGCACCATGGCTCTTTGTAATATACCACATGTTACGTAATTGTTAGTACGAGCTTCTTCCTAAAATGGTCACATTTCCAGGTGACACAAGGGTATATGGAGTCGCATTAGAATGGGCAAATAAAGCTTAAGATGACATGAGCAGACACTTGACTGAGCGACTTAAGACGCCTCCCCAGTTTTTTAGTTTTTGTGTGTTTTTCGGATCGGTCTCAGCTGTTGGGGTCTCTGAATTACCTTGGCAATCATGTAATCTGTTTCCAAGGCAACTCCTGACCTGCTGAAGGACAAGGACCAGAGCTTGGAGCCACTGGGGGAAGCAGACAAGGCGAAGCAGATGATCTACACCATTCTGAGAGATGGGTAAGAGCGAGCAGCATGGATGTGATGTTTGGCGTGAGACATGGCTGCAGAGTTCCCTGGCGCCCCACTTTCGGTGAGGTCCGATCTGACTCTGGAATGACAGACGTAACAGAACCCACGCAGGTGGACTGTATCCCCAACTTAAGCTTAATGCAGACCTTCCTGGCCTATCCAGTAACCAGCTAGTGTTACTGGCAAATGCAGCTTCTCGCTTCTGGTCCAGGAATGGCCGTAACTGATAGTGGCGATAAAGCGATGCTGTAGTCAGGTGATGTTGTAGCTTTGGGGGCCGGTGGGGGCTGTATCAATGGTCTCCTTTATAACATCTGTTTTTTCCTGTCTCCTTCTCCATTTCTAAGGAACAATGAAAGTGTTTCAGCCACCAAACGCAAAGTCGACCTAGTCTTTGACAAGATTCAGGGATTGAGGGTACGAGCTTTATTATTGTGGATAAAGTACATAAAGTTGAGACCTTGGTTTAGTTAACCCAGTTAATAATACATGGTGGGTATTAAGCATTATTTTGGATAATTTATGTTCTGTAGGTGAACTTTTGCACAGTGACAGAAATGATATAGTTGTCTGTAGGTGAAGGTACATTTTGTGTGTGTGTGAGAGAGAGAGAGAGAGAGAGAGAGAAGATGATTTACCTGTGTGTAGTGAATATGCCTGTCTGTGGTGACATGTGACCCATGTACGCTCTGTGTTTATAAGAGAAACAACATCTCTGTGTTAGTATGTACATTCTGGTAAAAGTGACCTGTGTGCCCTTCGTATCGTATCAGTCCAGTGGAGCCGCTAGTGAAATTCCCAGCGAGGCTTGGAGGAAGGAGAAGAGGGATCTGGAGAGGAAGCTGGCAGACCTGCAGTCTGCCCTCCAAGAGGAGCGCAGGGTGAGTGCCTGTAGGGGGCGCCACAGTGTGCACCTCACCCAGTCATGTACCATGCCATAGGAGAGACAGGCTAACTCTGATTCAAAATGACATGACCTCCAAGGGATTCTGACCGGCAGGCCTGGGCTTTGACTGTCCGTCACGTATGTCCGTCTTTGGCCATCCCGGCAGCACTTTACTCCTGAGAACAAAGACGCCTTTTTCTGAGGTGGTCCCCAGCTGACTGACTGCCACTGCCTCTGGGGACGCAGTGAATAACAGCAAGCTTCAGTCGCCACCTGCAACCCCGGATGGCGCCACTAGGGGGCTTGGCTGGCGATCAGCTCCAAGCCCGGATGGTTCTTGTCCATGGTAATCGGTGTGTTTTGGTACCATGTGCTTATGGGTTACCTTGGGGTGCTGAGCACAGGTGCAGTGACATCATGGCAAATGAGGCAAACGAATAGCCACACAGAAAAGCATTTGGAGCGGAGAAATGCTCAGGAGGTGAGAGGGAAACTTTCCAGGAGTCCTGCAGATGCCTGTGACTCTACCTCAAACCCAGTCAATCTTAACCCAACCGACTCTTTTTGGTGACCTTAATTAAAACCTAATTAGAGTTCTTAATTAGAGAAATGGGCCATTGGAACCTTGCACTGAGCAGTGTTGGCTGGGCCCCTATGGAATAGGCAGTCATGATTTTTTGATCCAACATAATTGCTCTGGGCATTCGGAACATTAATTAAAAGATGCCAGTAATATCGTTTATCTGAGGTGTTCTGGAAAGACTTTGGGGGGGGAGGGGGCAGCCCATTAAAAGCATTCTAGTTCAGTGATTCCCAACCTGCTCTTTGGGAACCCACAGACGGTCCACATTTTTGCTCCCTCCCAGCTCCCTGCCAGACGGTCCACATTTTTGCTCCCTCCCAGCTCCCTGCCAGACGGTCCACATTTTTGCTCCCTCTTGGAAAACACTGTCCTAGTTGAAAGGGGATTATGTAGCACCTCAGTAAGTCTGAGTGACTAACAGTATGGCTGGAAGGAGAACAGACAGAGACAGACTTATGTTTAGTTCACTTACTTTGGCTCGAACATCCTGCTTGCACAGCAGGCTGTCAGTCTTTTTTTTTTTTTGGTGTCCTAAAATGACAGGAAGCAAACAGAGCTCTGTTACGTAAGTGTCACACAGCGACCAGACTTTGTCATTATGCCAAGGAGTCGGTGATTTGTTGTGTGTATATATACACCAAATTTAACATCCAGGGGTCTCTCATTGAGTTTGCATGTTCTCCCCATGTCACGCGGGTTTGCTTTGGGTACTCCAGTTTCCTTCCGCAGCCCAAAGACATGCTCTTAGGCCGGTTTGGATCTTCAGATTGCTGGTGTGTGTGGCTGTGTCCTGTAATGGACAGGCATTCTGTCCCCGTGCCTTGTGTTGCTCAGATTAGGCTTAAATGGTTTGGAGATGTAGCCAGGTACCACTGAGATACCCTGAGGAAGGTACCGGCCCCACGCTCAGCTCTTTGGGCACTTAGTGATTTATCTTCTCACTACTATGTCCCATAGGTTAAATGCTTATCCTGGCGAGGATCGCAGTTACAGATGTTTTCATGGTTTATTTTGTTTATCATTCGTTGGGTTACACATTTCCACTTCTTCGTGGATGCTGAGGTGGAGGGTTTTGTGTGAGTGCTGCAGTGATCTTCCCTCTGACGAGGCGGTTTCTCGCCGTAGAACACGCAGAAAGCCAGCACAGATCGCAACCTGAAGGCGGAGCTTGAGGACTGTCTGGATGACAACCTGCAGCTGAAGGAACACCTGGACAGGAAGAAGACGGAGCTGGACCAGGCCCAGACTGAGTAAGAGAGGAGGAGTCACCCTTCTGTTTACAGTGTTTTTTTTGTAGCACCTCAATGTGTGCAGGTACATCTCCAGCTTCATGCCCTGGGTCCCTCTCCCTTAGCCTCACACAGCTGAGGATTGAAAGGGAGTCTGCTGAGTCACGGGTTCGAGACCTGGAGGACCAGATGGCTGGCTTTCAGGAGGAGCTGAGGAGGGAGTCAGATGGCAGAGAGCAGCTGGACCTTCTGCACACGGTACCTTTAGTGTCTGTGCCCTGGTCTATGTATATCAGAGGCCTGATGCTCTTCAAGGCTCCATGTGTGACCCCAATATCCATCTATTCACTTTTCCTTTCTATGCCCACACCGTTTTTCTCCTGTCCTACCCATGTCTTCAGGAGCTGATGTCGGTGAGAGCGGAGCTGGCAGAGGCGGTCATGGTGCGGCAGCGCCAGGAGGAGGCGCTGCGGCAGCGTGAGCGAGAGCTCACTGCCCTGAAGGGAGTGCTGAAGGACGAGGTGTCTTCTCACGACAGCCAGATTGAGGCTCTGAGGGAGCAATACCAGCAAGACATGGAGAAGCTGAGGAGCAGCATGGAGCAGGTTTCAGTGGTGAGAACACTCATGGGGGGCTTCATATAGGTTTTCTGTCTAAGTACTTTGTATATGACAAGCATGGAGGCACATACAGTAAGTGAGTATTATTGAAGTATTCAGCATTCAGCAACCATGCATTATGTGTACTGTCTTTGCTACGTATTTGTTTTGCACTGATGTATGTTCGTCCATGCTATACATACATGCATGCATACAAGTTAATCTAATCTAGTCTAACGTAGGGTTGCAAAGGGCTGGAAAATTTCTGGAAATTTTCCTGAAACTTTCCGTTCCATGGGAAGTTAAGCTGGGGAATTTTGGAAATATTCCACATTAGAAACTTTCCATGGGAATTAACGGGAAAGTATGGGAATTAACAAGAATATTCCTAGAATTTTGCAACCCTAGTCTAACGTACAGTGTAATTGGCGGCTGGTTCTCAGTAAACTTACCTATGTAAATGAAGGCTTATCCAAAAATGGAGACATTTATGCAGATAAGAACATCTAGATCTCTGAGACATGGTGCAGAAATCAAACTTAGAGGAATAGTTTTCCACCAACCCACTGATTGGCATAGAAATAGCTTCTGGGGCACTCGGCCAAATACCCCAGTGACTGGCTACATTCCCTTCCTTCTTTTAGTCCCAGCTCGGCATTGAGGCGGAGCGCCAGCGCGTCAACTCCACCATGCGTGCACTTCAGCAGCAGCTGGAGGACTGCAGTGAGGAGAGCAGCCACTGGAGGGGGCAGTTCCAGTCCACCCGAGATGAGCTGCGGAGCAACAAGCAGGAGTGAGTTTGGTCACTAACCGATGCTTACATCCATCACTCCTCTCATAAGCATGCACACCATGCGCCCTGGTCCTTTGAAATGGTCACAGAGGGAAAAAATCTATACAAAACGTCTTAGGAGGAGATTAATGCTCGGTGGTTCAGTAGGTAGCACCATTGCCTCACACTTTTACAGTGGGGTTCGAATCCCACCCTCTTTTAGGGTGGGGTTCGAATCCCATCATCACTATGTGTGGAGCCACAAAAGACACAGACATTTCATATGCACCACATTCTCTTTCACACCGGTCCCATACCACTCAGGACACAGAAAATAATCACATTGGACACCCACATGCTTTTTTTTGTCAAGGAAACTTCATGTAGGGCCATACATACATATAGTGGGATTTTAATCCAAGGAGACTGGAGCCTACATCCAGTGCCTTAGACCACTTGGCCACACCACCCCTCCCTTTTCCTTACTCCAGCTCATATGAGCAGCTTTTACATCCATTGGGTATCCTAAGACACACAAGCAGTTCATATGCACCGCTTTGTCTTTAGTCATGGTTGAACACAGGAGTAAATCACATTTTATTTTATTTGTTTTATTAAGGATCCTTAATGCATGTAGAGACCCATGCTGGTAACGAGTTAACTGTGGCAGTGGTGGGATTTGAATCCACACCTCCGCAGAGACTGGAGCCCAAATCCAGCCCCTTAGACCGCTCAGCTACACTACCCACGAAACAGGACTTACCATCATCATGTTGGCAGTTCTAAAACTTGGTACCTTTTCCTTGCAAATTTTATGATCTCTTTCCTAAAAGATGTTTGATGCCAAACCCTCACACTATGCATCATTGTACTTGGTCAGGCCAGACACAGACTCATGCTATTGGACGTATACGTAAAAGCAGGACCTCTGGCAGTGGTGGGATTCGAACCCACGCCTCCGAGGAGACTGGAGCCTTAATCCAGCGCCTTAGACCGCTCGGCCACACTACCCCTCTGTAGATTGAGCAGCTTGCACGTCCTGTATGCCGCTTTTTTCTTTCATGTGGGTCTCGTATCCATCTCCCAATGTTTTGTGAATTTTATATTTCAGTCAAAAGCTTTGGCACGCCACAGGTTTAAACCACTTTTCTATTTATTTCATAAACTTCAGATTTTTTGTCCTTGTTAATCATCGGCAAGTTTAGTGAACAATTATAAATAACAATACAAGTTTCCATTATAACATGGAAAGAGTATATACTGTAACAGTGCATGTCTGACATCCTATTAACTGGTTGTGTGTTGACGGCATAGTCAAATTCTAGGCTGTCCTTTAACTTAGAGACCATCTGGCTTTTATTTTCTTCCAAGTTTGTGGCAATTAAGAATATATTTATTTTGAGTTTCTGATCTGAATAAGTAACTGGAAGAAGGAAAAGTACACAGCAGAGCTGTAGGGTTAGTCACAACATGGGTGTTCCCCCACTCTACTAAAATTTAGCGTGATTATGAATTAAAACTGGAATTAAAATTACCTTCAGAAATTACTGTGCTCTACCCTGGCCAAGTGACGCAGCAGGTTTCACTGTGTACACGCTGCGGACTGAAAAGCAGTTACTGTCTGTGAGCCATGCATCCATGCCCTAACCTCTTATCAAGTACTGAGTTATGGGTGAGCGATCCCAGGGAGCACAGGACAAAAGGCAGGGGAACACCCTGGATGGGAATGCCGCAGGACAGGCACATGCTGCAGCCAATTTAGAGAGGCTGATTCACCTCATGGTGTGTCCTTTGCACTGCGGGAGGATGCAGGTTCACCTGGAAGAAGCCCACGTGATATGGGGTAAATTGGGGCGGAATTCTAACTCCCAGACCTAGATGTATAAGGCTATAGTGCTACTCCTTGAGCAACCATGCTGGGTATCTGTATACTGTAATACAAATGTCTACCACCTTTTGCTGTGTGTATGGGCATGTGTATGTAACTGAAATATACCGAAAATCATTCGTTTTTTTAACGAGGATAAACCTAAGTGCACCTCGAGGTTATGTAGTAAGTATCATCTTGTGAACAAGGACATAGATGGAGTGCTGTGACAGATGATTACAATCCCCTTTCTTAAACTTAGAGAGAGATGGTTTGGGATGAGTAGGATCAAGAGAAGTAAGAGCAACATAGGCAGCTTGTGTCCAGAACGCCTTTGGGATTGTATTCCAGGTGGCTGCATCCATGCCATGAGTCTGCAGTGCTGTCATCAAAGCAAAAAGGGTGCTGAAGAGTGTAATATTTGAGATTTTTTGAGATGTTGCACACTTCTCCTGGTCATTGCAGTATTTGATATCAATTATTTCATTGCTTCGAGGCCTTTTACTATAAGGTGACATAGCTAAAATGGAGACGGATGCATTAAAATTAGGAGTGTCCAGATTTTTGACTGGTATTTATGTTATGCAGGTTGCTACAGGCTCGTTTGGAGAAGGAGGAATTAGAGGAGGAGACTACGGAGCTACAGGACAGGCTGACTTCAATGAAGGAACAAATGCCTGATCCCAGCCACATCAACACCCTCACACAGGTATACACACACACACACTGCACATGTGTGTGTTCATATCTTTGTGGGGACTCTCCATTCATTTTTATCACACTGTGGGGAGACTTGGTCCCCATCATTTAATGTAAAAATGACCTACACACACACACAAACCTAACAAACATAAGTCAGCGTCCTCTTGACACAATTCAACATGACAAAGCATCGCATAATGTCGTAGTACCTTTCGCTTAGCGACTAAACGTTCTTCGTTTGCAGGACCTGGAAAAATGTCGGGCTGAACTGAAGCAGGCCAGAGTTGACCTGGAGAAGCAAAAGCTGGAGTGTGACAAAAAAAGGATGGAGTTACTTTCACTAAAGAAAACAAATCAGGAGCAAGAAGCAGACCAGAAATACGAGATTGACAGACTGAAGGACCAATCACGGAAAGACAAAGAGGATCTTGCCAAAGCACTGGATAAAGTAAAGCAGGTATAGTTTTACAAATTAAATGTTTCATTTAATATCAAAATGAACTGTATGTATAGTGAGGTGGCACATTGGCTTCAGAGGGTAGCACCATGACCTCACACCCCTACAGGTACATTATACGCACAAAAGTATTGGGACACACCTCTTAGTCATTGAATTCACTTGTTTAATTCAGACCCATTGCCATAGGTGTTTGTGAAAGAATGGGTCGTTCTGCAGAGCTCAGCGAATTCAAGTGTGGTGCTGTCATAGGATGCAACCTTTGAAATATGTTAGTTTGAAATTACTTCCTTGTAGATATTCCACAGTCAACTATAAGTGGTATTATTGCAAAGTGGAAGCATTTAGGATCAACAGAAACTCAGCCGCAATGTGGCAGGCCACTTAGAATAACGGAACAAGGTCGTCGAGTGCTGAGGCATATAGTGTATAAAAGTCACCAACACTCTGACTCAATAACTGCAGAGTTCCAAACTTCCTAACCCCAGCTCAAACACAGTGGGTCGGGAGCGTCACGGGTTGGGCTCCGCTGGACTCTGGAGCAATGGAAATGCATTCTGAGGACTGACAAAATCACTCTTCTCTGTCAGGTAGTCTGATGGAGGAGTCTAGGTTTACCGCATGCAAGGAGAATGTTACCTGTCTGACTGCATTGTGCCAGCTGTAAAGATTGGTGGAGGCAGGATAATGGTATAGGGTTGTTTTTCAGGGGTTGGGCCAGGCCCCTTAGTTCCAGTAAAGGGAACTCCTAATGCTTCAGCATACTTTGGAATTTTCTAGAACTGTAACCGACACGAGTAAAATTACATCGATTAGAGGTTCTGAGTGTCAGTTTTGATTCATTTTCTTAATTGATTAATTGTCCAGCCCTAGCTGAAGGTTATCCCAAAAACCTGCATACACTGGCCCTCTGCGGATAAGATTGCCCACCCCTTGTGTACAGTTTAGATGGCTGCTGCACCTCTGATCTCCCTGTGTATGTTGGGGTTTCCTTTGGTTACTCTGGCTTTATCCCTCAGTCCCAAGCCATACAGATCAGGTGGATTTGTGGGTCTGCATTGGTGTCACAGTGTGTGATTGTGTGTGTGTTCCTCTGATGGACTGGCGTACCATCCAAAGTGCACCCTGCCTCCACTCGCTTGCTTTGACTATGCATTTAATAAATGATTCTGGAAATGGAATATATGTCATATGTGTTTAATATAGCTGCACCCGTCTTTTTTCTCCTCCCCCGCTTCCTCGCACAGAGGCCGGACCCTTCCGTGGTGGAGGAGCTCCAGAAGGAGCTGCAGGAGTGGCAGTCCAGGGCAGAGAGGCTGCAGGAGAAGGTGGCCGAGGCAGAGCAGCAGCTGCAGGGGCAGTGGCAGCGACTGGCCGCTGCACAGACAGAGCTGCAGACGCTCCGAGACGCTGAGCAGGAGCTGCAGGAGGCCAATGACCGACTCAAGGAGAAGCACGGCCGCCTGGAGGTTAGACATGCCCAGTGTCTCCAGCTGTTATCGGACCAACCCAGTCCAGCTGCGATCTCTACCCTCTCATGGCCCACCTCCAGATTCCCATGTTGCTTCAAACTGCTAACGGCTCGCAGCCTGCTAACAGCCCACTACCCAGCCCCCCCCGCTATAGCAGCCTGCTAACAGCCCACCTCCCAGTCCCCCCGCTATAGCAGTCTGCTAACAGCCCACCTCCCAGTCCCCCCGCTATAGCAGTCTGCTAACAGCCCACCTCCCAGTCCACCCGCTATCGCAGCCTGCTAACGGCCCACTACCCAGTCCACCCGCTATCGCAGCCTGCTAACGGCCCACTACCCAGTCCACCCGCTATCACAGCCTGCTAACGGCCCACCTCCCAGTCCACCCGCTATCACAGCCTGCTAACAGCCCACCTCCCAGTCCACCCGCTATCGCAGCCTGCTAACGGCCCACCTCCCAGTCCACCCGCTATCACAGCCTGCTAACGACCCACCTCCAAGTCCACCCGCTATCGCAGCCTGCCAAAAACACTAAAAGTTTCATGCTTGCTAGCTTGGTGGGAATTTGATCTGCGATCTCTCAAGGTAAAACTGACATGGACACAAAACTCACCCACTTGACGAAAAATTCTGTTAGACTATGTAGGACTTGTGTCAGTGGAATCGACAATATGGTTGTGATTGATGGGAAGAACAAATTTAAATGTCAGAAAAATTGCTAGCTAAAAAACAACTAAATCCTTTAATTATCTCAGTGTATACTGCCCCCCTGTGGCCATCAAATGCAAAATACGACACATGCACGCAAAATGCAGTTATGAAAATACTTTTAAAAAGCAATAATAATACATTAAAACACACACAAAAAACAGTTTTACATTTTCAGTTTTTTGTGTGTGTGTTTTGCACTTCAGGGCCACCATGCTAAGTAAATGCTATATACATAATTGTTACTGTGCATATTTTGACTTCTGTAACCTTAGTGTATAAAGACTATTAGTCATGTCCGTATGAAGCCAGTGGCCTGTACTCTGTCCCCCGCCTGTCCATCAGGTACAATTGCAAACAAGCGCATCCCAAAGCTCTGAGACTGAGCAGGTTTTGGAGGAGCAGATTCGGAGTTTGCGAATGCAGCTGGAGGATTCCCGGCGTATGGGGACTCGGCTGAGCCAGGAGAAGGAGGAGCTGAGCCAATATCAGCGGGAGCGGGAGCGACAGAGGGAGGCACAGCGCAAGGAGGCTACGGAGTTGGAGGAGCAGAAGAGAGCACTGGAGCGCGCACTGGACAAAATTAACAAGGAGGTAAATGTCGCAGCTGCTGTTCGTCTCAGTATGCGTGGAGGTGTGTGTCACTACACATGCTGTGAATGAGATGTGTGGAACAAACCCGTTAACACGAAAACATCAACATAACTACAGTAGGAAAGGTATGTCTCCTGTCCACTGCTGTTCTGAAGCAGATTTAGTTCACATCCTTTGTGTGAAAGGTTTAGAAACAGTCACCAATGCACAGCTTGACGTTGCAATCAGAACAGTAGAAGCATGTTTGTGCAAGTTTTCTTTCATTTCATCCACTAAATGGCAGCAGAACACTGGTCCAAGTGTTATATGGGCTTACAGCTGTACATAAGGTCAGATTTGACCTAAAATTCAGAGCCCCTGGGCGTTAACCAAGGAGGTTAATACACTTGTATTTAACTGTCTGTTGCTATTTGGTCTGAAACATCTCAATGTTATTATTATTATTTTTTTTTTATTTTTTTTTACTTCGCAAACAATCCGTGCTGTGGCCCCCAGATGGAGCAGCTGAGCTTGGAATCACAGCAGCAGGTGCGGTTACTGGAAGGCCAACTGGAAGAATATAAGGAGCGCTGCAGAAAGGAGGTGCAGGACACCCAGAGGCAGGGCAGGGAGCGGCAGGCGGAGCTGGAGAAGGCGCAGGGTAACCTGAGATCCCTGCAGGAGGAGGTGAGGGAGAAAAGGAAGAAAGGCCCAATAAGATGGAGCAGCAAGAGAGTGTTTGTGCTTCTCTAAGCCCATTATGTTCGCTTTTCCCCCGTGGTTTATAATCGGAGAACAGGCTCCAACTTGTCAGCTGTGAGGCCTCTACAGGTCATAGTCTGTGAGTGATTCAGAGAAAACACTCTGTGTGGCGATCGCTGCAGGTGTCCCGTCTGAAGAAGGAGCTGTCACTCTCCACGGAGGAGAGGGAGACCCTCCAGCTGGACAAGGAGCTGCTCGGCAGTCGTCTCAAAAACATGGAGGCGGAGATGGAGTCTCAGCGTGGCTCTCAGACGGACCGGAGCAGGGAAGTGCGGAGCTTGGAGGTAAGGCGTTTCAGGCTCTTCGCGTATCGCGTGAAGGGCTGAGGAGGTTCCAGTTGCCCCATGTATGTCATGGTGTCCTTTCAATCTTCTCTATGTCAGGATAAGGTGAAACACCTCCAGATGGAGGTAGATGAGGAGAGACACACCGTGGAGCTGCTCACGGATCGTGTTTCACGCAGCCGTGACCAGGTATGACTACCCAGACTTTAAAAAATGATTATGGACCTTGCCAGAGTGAGAACTGGCCATGCCCCTGGAAGCGGAATCCCTCCTTTTAGTCAAATCAGAGTCATGTCAGAAACTTCCCATCCAATAGTTATCCTAAGACCCACAGGCAGTTCATATAAACTGCTTCGTTTTCAACAATGGCTGAACACCACAGGAATGTCACAGTGGACACTCAAGTGCTTTTTGCTCTCAGTTTTTTTAAAGCAGTTGTCCTCACCCTCCCTTTTCGCTCAGAATGAGCAGCTGCGTGCTGAGCTTATGCAGGAGAGGTCATCCAAACAGGATTTGGAGCTGGACAAGAACTCCCTGGAACGACAGGTACGTAACTGCAACTGGAACTCTCCTTTGGTTGGAAACATAGTCACTTAAAGTTATAGTGGGATGCAAAAGTCAGTTCTGTCCTTACATTTACTTTAAAATATTTAGCAGATGCAAGTATTCTGTGCTTAAAACAGGGTTAGCCAGTCCCTGGAACAGCTGGGGTTTATCATCCTGCTGAAAGGCTCACAGGAACTGAACCAGAAATCTTTCGATTATGGGCCTGCTGAGCCACACACCTCCTTGTGTCCTTCCTGGGGGGTGTGGTCACTATGGTGTCCCTTTCCCTTCCTTTTTGGGGATGTGGTTATTTTTCTTTGGTATTTGTCTCACTCCCATTTTGTTCAGATTAAGGATCTGAAATCCCGCCTAACAGACATGGAGGGACAGTCCCGCTCTTCAGCTGGATACTCCCAACTGGAAAGCAAGGTTCAGGAGCTGGAGGACCGGCTGCACAGTGAGGAGAGGTAAGGAGAGTTATGGGCCACAGTGTTTGTATGATGGTGGTAAACCCTCAAAACAGGCATGCTAGCACTGCATTACTGTGTTAGTCAAGTGGGCAAGTAACTTAAGAATGCCTTTTCGACTAGAAACCAGAACTTTCACTTTGTGCCACTTTTACACTACTTTTCTGGCATTTAGTGTACACACACACTCCAGTCATAAAGGCTCTAAGATGGACAGCGGAAGAAATGTCCTCTGTCTGCATCTGGCAAGGCCAGTGGCCCCTGGAACGGTTTGTTGTTACAGTGCTGGCTTTGTGTTTCAGAGAGAAGAACACCCTGCTGGCCTCACAGCGTCGTCTGGAGAGGAAGCTGAAGGAGCTCAGTATCGCTCTGGATGAGGAGAGGCAGCAGCACACTGACCAGAGAGACCAGGTACCTGAGCCCATACACGGCACACTGACCAGCGAGACCAGGTACCTGAGCCCATACACGGCACACTGACCAGCGAGACCAGGTACCTGAGCCCATACACGGCACACTGACCAGCGAGACCAGGTACCTGAGCCCATACACGGCACACTGACCAGCGTGACCAGGTACCTGAGCCCATACACGGCACACTCAGTTTCCATGTTTTTATTTTTGCTCAGACAAAAAAACTTCTTAGTTTAGTGTCTATATCTCTCGTTGTTTGAAACGACACAAAAATTCCCTTTTTTTTTTCCCTGTTGCCATAAAGAAAGCAAATGTACATACACAGAAAAGGGGATAATGTACATACACAGAAAAGGGGATAATGTACATACACAGAAAAGGGGATAATGTACATACACAGAAAAGGGGATAATGTACATACACAGAAAACGGGATATGGCGAAACGGATATAATGTCCACATTGGCCATAAACAAATTTATAAAGGTATTTTCTGCGGTTAGCTACACCGGATCGGTTCTGCATCTGTCCCAAGTTCTATTGAAAAATAAATGTATAAACATCCACTGACTGTTGAACAGAGAACAGTGTACACAAATTCTGGCACATGAAAGCAGGGCATCAGACACAAAGAACAGGAACTCACACACCCCAAAGCAATGGCCTCTCTGTTTGTGGGGGGAGGGTTGCTGTCAGAAACCGCATTTATGACCAGACTTTCATCTGCAAATGTTTTTACCTCTTTTAAAGTTGCAATGAGCCATTTAATTCAATGCAATTCAACTTTATTGTCACTATAGTACGCAGATGTACACATATAATGAGAAGTGTCTTATGACTCCTACAGCTGGTGCAACGAGTTTAAAGTAGAATTACAGAATACAGTCCTACAATAGAAGAATAACAAGTAACAAGATAAAAATTTATAGAAACTTGGGATGTTACATATGCAATAAAACAAAATAAACCAGGATGCAGATTTAGCAGTGGTGCTTAGCTAATCCTGCCCCGAGCACACTGCAGCACAGTGATGGCCCTAACCCCCCCCCCTCCCCCCCAGCTGACCCTGCGCATGAAGGCTCTGAAGAGGCAGGTAGATGAGGGCGAGGAGGAGGTGGAGCGACTGGAGGGGCTGCGCAAAAAGGCAGCCAGGGACCTGGAGGAGCAGCTGGAGATGAAGGAAGCGCTGCAGAGCCGGGTCACGGCGCTGGAGTCCGAACTCAAGTGAGCAAAGCCTTCTGAACACTTTATGGAGGAACCAAACCCCCCCCCGCATCACTCCCCAAATGTTGAATACATTGTGCTCTGTCTGAATCACAGAGGGCAGATTACAGCACATACAGAAGGAAGACAGTAGGCCTCCTTCCTGCCAGTTCAGCTCAAAGTGTTTATTGGCAAAATCTGTCAGGCTCACTGTCCAAAGCTGTGGCACAGAGCACTGCATGCACACACTGGATTTTACTGCGCGCTGAGATCGGGAGGGAGTCGTCTTGTACCCTACAGGCATCCAGTTCCCCGGTGTGTGTAGGACAAGGGCAATTCTTAGCAAACATGGAAACCAGCTGTGAGTGCTAATATACTTCAAAGTAGGAGATATAGTTATCACAGTAACAGATAATATACTGTCACCTCTTCACAGTGGTGAATTTTGATGATCCCACTTTTGACTATTTGCGAGTTGGCCGTGGACAAGGCATCTGCCAAAACTATATAAACAATACTGAAAATCCTTTGGATCACTTAAAATCTTATCTTATATAAATATTACTGTGATTTCATATTTAATAGTGTAAGTGCATACTATACCCTCAATATTAAAAGTCTTTGCTTGGGACCGACACGCATCTTTGTCTCAGCAGCCAGCCTCACTCACGTTTTAGCCGAATCTCCTGTTTCTCACAATAACTTAAACTTTTGTGGCGTTGATTTTTCATTACAATAATGGATACAAGTATTATCACATTCACAGGGATCTTCTACCTCTAACCTTCACGAATGGGAAGAGGCAACTGTAAAAAGTATTCTCTTAATGAAGATTTGATTCCTAGATGAGACTTTTATACACATTAAGACCAGCAGGGGGCACCATGTTATTGGTTTGTAGTTTTTTATATGATGATTAACTCTGAAGAGTTTGTCTTCCCAGTGTCGCAGTTGCTAATAGCATCAAATATTGTATATCCAAAACTAGTTTTCAAGTATTTTATACTTATTCTTCTTTTCTGAAAATAGTCAGTTTGGAGTGTTGAAATGCATCATTGTGTTGGAGTCGTAACTGAAGAATTGTAGTTCCAGAATTGTTTAATTTAACTAGTTTAATTTAAGTATAAAAAGCTTTCTTGCAATTACATTCAAGTTGGAACAGCAAAAGTTTTTGTTGAAAGGATCCACGACACTTTAATCATTTTATATTTATTCTCAATAACATGCAGTATACTATCATACAATATAGGGACCAGAGGTGGAGATTCCAGGTCCAGAGAGTACAAATCCAGACCAAGATTTTGTTTCAACCAACCGGTTGTGTATAAAGAGTCACAGTCACAGAGTACTCAACTGGTTGGTTGAAACAAAATCTTGGTCTGGATTTGTACTCTCTGGACCTGGAATCTTCACCTCTGATAGGTACCATGTGAAATAAACAGAACTATGTGCTTTTTATAAGATGCATGAAATGTGTGTATTCAGTCATATTATGGTGACTGATTGTTTTTCAGGCGGAAAGCACAGCAGTCACACCGGGCAGCACTGGACCACAGCACCCTAAGCTCTGATGATGATGACGACGATGATGGACTCTATGATCATTCCAGCATAACCTCCATATTAACTGAGAGCAACCTGCAGACCAGCTCTTGCTAGAGGAAAGGAGGGAACACATATATTGGACAAAGCATGTAACAATCACAATGGTCATTACACAGTCACAGTGGTGACACTGGACATATGACATTACACTAGACACTGCATCTTCAGACAAAATAGTGAACCTGGTAAGACATGAACAGGGAGGATTAGTTGCTAGTGGAAAAAACACAAACCTAGTAAACACTATAATAAACTGACATTGTACTTGGTAAAGGAATCGAGGTAAATAGAAATATAATCTACCGAATGGGTAGGAGAAGGCAAGATATTTTAGGTTAAATACAGGACACTAACAATAGGGGGAGCTGTTCCCTCTTCACATACTTTAATCGAAGGTGGAGTTGGCGTTTAAGTGGGAAATATGAGTTTACTGTTTACTGTACAGAAGATGGTTTGGCTTGGACTCCTCTCATAGATCGTTCTCCACTAGTACTGCCGTGCTAACCCTCCAAAGCAGATGACCCTGGAGATCCTTAGATTTAAGGTGCTCCACAAAGTGAGCCCTCAGACATCTTCGTGTCCTGCTGCCCGACTCTGTCTTGTGTGGGAACCCAGCTGCACCTATTGTCTGTACAGAAATAGTCTCCATTGGTCTCACATTGGTACGCTGTACAAATCTGACCGTGGTTTTGATATGGTTACTTTTTGCAAGCAATTTTTTTCCATGTTTTTGCACAGACGGTACGATATATTGTACTTTAAGTTCGGTACGAGTGAGTATTGAGTGACATAATGTATTCAGAATTTGCCAAATGAACACAAACGCAGTCTAAGTACAGACCTTTACATGGTTTACTTCTGTTGAACCCTGCAACCCTGTTTAACCAAATTTGAGTCAACCTGCACTTAGCACTGGATTCCCACTATATTACTTGTACTGGCAACATATTTTACCGAATATACATTTGGGTATTTTTCCCCATTTCATTATCTCTGTTTTCTTTATTTTAAAATCAAGCACCTTTATGAATTTTGTGTAATCTCAGTTGACTCTTCATTAGCAGTCAAGTCTTAACAATATTGTTCATAATGCAGCCATACTTTTTCAATGTTTTGAAATTATTAAAATTATACATGATTATTGTAACTATTTATTAGCATGCTGAAAACTGAACAGCAGTTTAGATATTTAATGAGAAGTCACTACACTACAATCAGTATAATCCATTTCTGCAATGATTTTATAATGGTTGATTTTACTTGAAAGTTTGTTTACTGATAAATGTTTTTTATCTTTTAGTTCAGTGGTTGTCAACTGGTCGATCGTCAAGAGATTTAGATATTTTTAGCTGATCGCATAATCCCCCCCTCCAACTATCTGTGAAAATGTACTGAATGGATACCATTGCGATTTGGCAGCTTGCCAGAGTGTTTTCTTTATAATAATGTCTCTCACTGTAAAAAGGTTGGAGACCGTTGTGTTACTTTTTTAATGTGGTGTAACCGTCTTCTGGAATTGGCCCAAAATTATTATGCAAATCATTTTAAACTGTGAAATTGTTTACAGCATTTATCTTACCTTTTCAGTTATTATTTTTTTGAAAATAAAATAAAATGCTATAAATGAGGAATCTGTTTCCTGCTTGTGGATTGTCCATTTTTTTTAGTCCCAACAAACATATCGGGGGAAAAAAACAATGTGTTTCTCCTCCATATTTTTCCTCTTGTTTTCAAATTTCACGCATAAGCATCTGATCATGCTAACACATACAGTACAATGGGCTCTGTCTATTGATTGTCAGTTGCACAGGAAATGAAGAGACCACCAGTGTGATGTTGCTGAGCCTGTAACAGCTATCGATCAGTGCTGATGAATGCCATGGGATTGGCCCTGGCTAAGGTGCTCAAGCCATCATTCTGTTTACAGATCTGCTGAACTGAAGCACCACCTCTTTCTAGAACTCGATCCACCTCGCCCTGCTCTGTGTGTGTGAAGCTTGCGTGTTCTCGCTTCCTCCAAGGCCGTCTGACTTCCTGCTAAACTGAGCGGCACATTTCTGGTAAGTTGGGAACACTAAATTGCTGTTGTTTCATGAGCGTGCCATGCGGAACTCGGTCCAATCAAGGGTGTGGCCCACTAGCCCCGGGCTTCCTGGGGTACTGTCGGGACCAATGTCGCCTTGTTTGGACAAGCGCTTAATCAAAATGGATGGAACACAGGTGTCACAAAACTATTTGGCAAATTAATAATTCCAGCCTCACCCATTTATTGTTTATGCTTTGTTACATTTTTCTTCTGTGGAAAAATTTTACTGCAAAAACAAAATGGCATAGAGTTACTTTTATAAATAGTAAAAGCAACATTTGATAGACATGACAGAAGTCACATAAGATTCATTTCTGCAGACCCTTTTTTTTCCCCAGAGCAACTTACATTTTGGGACAAAGACATTTTAGCTGGTACTTACAGCAATGGGTGTTTGAGGGCCTTGCTTATGGGCCCAATGGTGAAATAACTCTGCTGACCACAGAATTTGAACCAGTAACCTTCTGGTTGGGGGGCCATGCGGTGGTGCAGTGGTTAGCAGTGCTTAGCACTGTTGCCTCACACCTCTGGAACCAGGGTTTGAGTGTCTGCCATGGCTCCATGTGTGTGGAGTTTGCATGCTCTCCTCATGTCATCATGGAGTTTTCTCTTGGTACTCTGCTTCCCCCCCCCCCAAACACACATAGTCCAAAAATATGCTGAGGCTGATTAGCGTTACCATATTGCCCACGTGTGTGTGTGAGTGTGTGCGAGCAGGTTTACCTATCCTTATGGGGACACAATGTCCCCATAACGTGATAAATATCCATTTTTTTCCCTTATGGAGACCAGTTTCCTATTTTATAAAAATCGGTGACTGCTATGAAAAAACTAAAAATGCAAAAACTCTTGTATTTTGTTTGGTTACTTATGGTTATGGTAAGGGCAGGGTAGGGGTTAAGGTTGTCATAGTTAGCGTTAGCATTTTTCCCATTGAAATGAATGAGCAGACCCCATAAGGATATGTATACCCTACATGTGCGTGTGTGTGTGTGCGTGCGTGCGTGTGTGCGTGCGTGTTGTCACCCCATGCTGTGCTGTTCCCTGCCTGTAGCCTTCAAGATAGACTCCAAATCCCCCCTGACCCTGAATAGGACAACTGGGTACAGAAAATGGATGCAGACAACGCTTAAACTATTATTTATTATATACTTTTATTCTGCAATGAAGGTTGCGTGACTTATTTAATGGTTAATAATGTACCTTAAGAACTTAAATGCAAGAGCTTCAATGTGTATTGCATGTGTATTTGGAGAGGGAGTAGTTTATTTAATTGTTATATCCCTTATTTTTTATTTTTTATTTTCCTTTATGAAGTCTTGCACTTCACGCCCACTATGTCACTACTTGCTAATGGACGATCCCTTTTTCTATATTCCTCCCTCTCCCGTCATTCTTCACCTTGCAGCCGTGCATGAGGAGGGACACGGCAAGAATAATCTCCCTCCTTATCCAGATGATTCTCCTTTATATCCTACGTCAAACACCTGCACTCTGTTTTGCTACCTCTCTAAAGACCCAGCAGTATTAAGTGGCCAATAAGACTACAGTTGTAGAGCAGGCATTCATGCGGGAACTGATAATAAAGCACTGAACAAAGAATGCGTGTCAGTTGCAATGTCATTCTAAATTTCCAGTTTTATTTAAGTCTGTTGACTGATCTGTTTTAGGCAGAGTACTCTCGGTGGATATTTAGAAAATAAGGGAAGAAGTGTCTAGTGCATTCAAAAACAGGACAATAGCATTTTTTCCTTTGTCTTTTTTTCATCAGAACAGATTAGTGTGCTTTATGGTGTGTTGAAATGTGGAGCGTGGATAATACCCATGCAAATTAAGCTCTTTCCAGTACACTGTCAACACAAATGCTCTTTAAACCAGAAGGCAGTGTCTGGAGGTCATGCAAAACAGGGATTGCGTTATTGTGTTAGTCATAATAACAGTGTGCGATCAGATGCTAGAGCATTTGTATGAATTACCTGCAGTTACCTGACTAAAGTCTCTTATTAATTACTGTACATGACTGTCTACAATACTGACTCTACATGACCGCATACAATACTGAATGCGGCAGTATTATTGAAACAGCACGTCATTAAGGCGTGGCAGGTATACTTCTGGGTCTGTCAGTTTTGGTCGACTCCAAAAGCTTTTTTAAGTCAATTTTAAAGTTGTTTTACATATGAAATCAGCTTTGAAGACCCCCTAGATGTGAAATACTCAGTATTGGACACTGTTGGTTTGAAGATAGTTAGCTTATGCAAACCATATTCCACAGAATTAAACAGATTAACGCAAAATTAGGCTTTCTATGTCCTGCAGAAATATTCCGCAATCTGCTACAAAAATAAATGCTCTCATATGATATTACGAAATGTGATTGCAGCTGCATGTGTCAGTTCTTGGTTAAGTGATGCCAGAGGTATGCAATTAGATGCTGGCTTGGAACCCAACAGTTACGAAAATGGAAAATATCCTCTGTGTGGTTTTACATGTGAAGGCTTCTCTGTTTTGAACCGTCATTTATTCCTGTAGACACAAAAATGTGACTTAATGATACAAATCTTGAAAAAAAACTAAAATCTTGAACAGTGAGCTGAATGTGGACTGAATGATGGAGCTAATGGATCTTTCTGTAAGGATATTTTTCTCCATTTATCCATCCATCCATCCATCCATCCATGTATTCAGTAAATGCATGACCTGTTGAGGCTACAGGAAATAGACAATTCCTAGGAAACAGGATGTAAGGTGTGGTTCATTTTGAATCACACTTGTTTTATATCAATGATAAGAGTGATATAGTGTATTAAACAGGAAAAACCCAAGGATTACCCCTACCTTGTCTGGGTGCCAGTGTATTAAATGCCTAACTTTTTGCACACATTTTTACTGCATGTAATTTTTGACCGCAACAGCAGTTCTCTTCATGCAGGTAATGCTAAGATGCACAATGTGAAAGTGTCAATATTTACAACATGGAATTTAAAAGGTATGCATTACATTTTATTGGGTTTACCTCACTGTAAAAGGAATGCATGACACTGTATTTGCGTTTTGCAATAGGTGAAACACACCCTGACCGAAAAGGCTCCTTAATTTTGTGAGAAGCGTCACTGCAGGATCCTAGAAGATCTAATATCATTCCGGTAGCTTCCTCATTATTTCATCTTCCTGTAATGGCCAAGAGCAAATATTAAGGTTCAGCAGTCAGCCTCAATCTTCCATAACAACAAAATTATGGTAAAATAACTTATAATCTGTGGGATATATGCCTTTTATAACTGTTTGATAAATACCCATAACATGACTTCTTCATGTGAACCATGTAGAAGAAATTCATGAGCCTTTGTAACAAAGCATTCAAATATTTTTTCATTAAGGAAATGGTTTCTAAAGAAACAAATTAAATATCTGAATCAGAATCTGAATCAGATTTATTTGGCCAAGTATGTTCACACATACAGTACCAGTCAAACGTTTGGACACACCTACCATAGAAAGGTTTATTTGTACTCTATATTGCAGAATAATTACAAAGGCGTTAAAATGATCAAATAATGTTTATAGATTATAAACTGACCAAAAAAGTATTAAACAAAAAATAATTTTTGTGGGTTGGGATCAGAAGGTTTCCAGTTTAAATGCCTGGGTCGGCAGAGTGATTCCAGGATTGGACTGTTGAACAAGGCCTTTAACCTCAACTGCTCCAGGGACTGGCTGTTCCTACCTTCTCCTCTATGTCAGTTCCATGAGGTGGCCTCCTGGGATGCTTTTCCAGCTGTCCTGCAGGAGGTCCCACATATGCTGTGCTGCTTCTCCTTCCCTTTCTCCTCACACTCCTCCAAAAACCATTTCTACTGTGTTTAGGTCAGGTGGCCAAGTCATGTGACTCTAACACTCTCCTTTGTTGGTGGCTTTGTGTGTCCAAATTTTTGACTGGTACTGTACATGAAATTTGTCTCCGTTTGTCAATGACTCACATGCATACAGTGGGTACAGACACAGTTAAGACAAGACGAAACAATGATCTCATATTTGATCTTAAAGTTTCCGTTGAAGGTTTTATATTACAGTCTATAACTAATTTTGTTATTGGTAATAAAAATCAGAGAGGTCCCAGCAAATAAGATCTAGTCTTCTCATTATTTCTTTTAAGTACCATTAAGTACCATTAAGCTTCTGTCCAATTCGCAACCACTAAACTAATTCCCTGATAAGCCTTAAGTTCCCAGGTAGGCTGTTGTTCTATTTTTGTTACTGAACTTTTCCTCGAGCTGAAAGTCAAAAGGAATCTGTGTGAGGGAGGAAGTGAAAGAAACTAAGACAAAGTGAAACAATGATATCAGTACATACTAGTATAATACCAACAAACATGACGTATTTGTAAATGTTCATAATCCCTTGTAATTAATTTCAGAATCAATAAAGTAGGTTGGAGTGGCTCAGAGGGTAACATTGTGCCCCCCCCCCCCTTTGATCCCGTACAGGATAGGTGGCTGGAAGATGGACAAATTGGGAAAATAACGCGTAGCCTATAAATTAAAC